GGAACCCCCACACCATACAACTCAGGAATTCTATTCCTAAGCATATACCTCGAATAACTGAAAACAAGTGTTCAAAAAAAAGTTATATACAAATGTTCACAGCATTACTCATAAGCACCAAAAAGGAAAAATACCTCAAATGTCATCGCCTGATGAGTGGGTAAACAAAATGTGATCTATCCATACAATGGAATATTATTTTGCCATAAAAAGGAATAAAGTACTAAGACATGCTACAACATGGATGAACCTTAAAAATATTAAGAGAAAAAACAGAAAAACCAGTCACAAAAGGTAAAAAACAATATGACTCCATTTATACAAAATGTCCCAAATAGGCAAACCATAGAGACGAAAAGTAGAAAGTAGGAGAGAATGGGGAGTGACTGCTAAAAGATACAGCATTGCTTTCCAGGGTGATAAAAATATTCTGGAATGGCCTTGCAGTAAGGGTTGCACAAGTCTGTGAATATACTAAAGACACTGGATTGCATAGTTTTGTTTTGCTTTTTCGAGACAAGGTGTCAGCTGGCAACAGCCCGGGCTAGGGTGCAGTGGTGTGATCACAGTTCACTGCAGCCTCAAACTCCCAGGCTCAAGAAATCCTCTTGCCTCAGCCTCTCAGGTAGCTGGGACTACAGGTACACACCACCATACCCAGCTAATTTACTGTTAAATTTTTGGTAGAGACGGGATCTCCTTGTGTTGCCCAAGCTGGTCTCTAACTGCTGGGCTCAAGTGATCCTCCCATCTCGGCCTCCCAAAGTGCTGGGATTACAAGCATGGTGGCTCATGCCCAGCCTGAACTTTTAATTGGTAAATTTTATGGTATGAGAATTATACCTCAATAAAGCTGTTATTAAATCAATAAATAAAAGCTAAGTCTCAGCTGGGCACAGTGCCTCACGCCTGTAATCCCAGCACTTTGGGAGGCCAAGATGGGCATATCACCTGAGATTAGGAGTTCAAGACCAGCCTGGCCAACAGGGTGAAATCCCATCTCTACTAAAAATACAAAAAAAAAAAAAAAATTAGCCTGGCATGGTGGGGCACATGCCTGTAATCCAGCTACTCAGGAGGCTGAGGCAGGAGAATCACTTGAACCCAGGAGACAGAGGTTGCAGTGAGCCAAAATCATGCCACCGTACTCCAGCCTGGGCAACAGAGCAAGACTCCATCTCAAAAAAAAAAAAAGGCAAAGTCTCGCCCCTTTTCTTCCTCTAAGTGGTGTTAGATGGAAACCAAGCACTGAAAAAATAAGATTTAGTCTCCACCCATAGGCATTCTCAGCCCAGTGAAAAATCAATGCAGGTGGTGGTTCACGCCTGTAATCCTAGCACTTTGGGAGGCAAAGGTGACAGATCACTTGAGCCCAGGAGTTCAAGAGCAGCCTGGGCAACATGGCAAAACCAGTCTCTAGAAAAAAATACAAAAAATTAGCTGGGCATGGTAGTGCATGCCTGTAGTCCCAGCTACCTGGAAGGCTGAGGTAAGAGGATCACGTGAGCCCAGGAGATCAAGGCTGTAGTGAGCTGTGATTGTGCCACTGCGCTCCAGCCTGGGTGACAGAATAGAGACCCTGTCTCAAAAAATAAAAAAAAGAAAAAGAAAACAATGCATATAAACAAACAATGGTAATATAATGCAGTAAGTATAATCGTAGGGTGTAAAATACTACAGCAACAAAAATGGACTTCAAATAGACTGAAGCCCTAAATATAAGGAGGAAAACAACTTTAAAAAGTGTTCAGAAAACACTGGAGGACCAGGTGCAGTGGCTCATGCCTGTAATCCCAACATTTTGGGAGGCCGAGGTGCGTGGGACATTTGAGGCCAAGAGTTTGAGACCAGCTTGGCCAACATGGCAAAACCCTGTCTCTACTAATAATGGGAAAATTAGCTGGGAGTGGTGGCATGCACCTGTAGTCCCAGCTGCTTGGGAGGCTGAGGCATGAGAATCGCTTGAACCAGGGAGGCAGAGGTTGCAGTGAGCCAAGATTATGCCACTATATGCCAGCCTGAGTGACAAGAGGGAGACTCTGTCTCAAAAATAATAATAACAATAATAATAAACAAGAGGCCGGGCGCAGTGGCTCACACCTGTAATCTCAGCACTTTGAGAGGTGAAGGCAGGCAGATCACCTGAGGTCAGGAGTTCAAGACCAGCCTGACCAACACAGAGAAACTTGTCTCTACTAAAAATAACAAAATCAGCCCAGTGGTGGCGCATGCCTGTAATCCCAGCTACTCTGGAAGCTGAGGCAAGAGAATCACTTGAACCCAGGAGGTGGAGGTTGCGGTGAGCCAAGATCGCACCATTGCAATCCAGCCTGGGCAATAAGAGCAAAACTCTGTCTCAGGGGGTTAAAAAAAAAGGAAAGGAATAGGCAGGGTAGGGTGGCTCATGCCCGTAATCCCAGCACTTTGGGAGGCCAAGGCAGGTAGATCACCTGAGGTCAGGNAAAAAAAAAAAAAAAAAAAAAACAAAGAAAAAGAGAAAACACTCAACAGTATCTTTTTGACTTTGGGGTAGCAAAGGATTATTGTAAAGAAGATACAAAAAACACAATCTAGCAAAATACTTATATTTTATTTATTCATTTTTTTGAGACAGAATTTCACTCTGTTGCCCAGTATGGAGTGCAGTGGCACGATCTCGACTCACGGCAACCTCCGCCTCCCAGGTTCAAGTGATTCTCCTGCAACAGCCTCCGGAGTAGCTAGGATTACAGGTGCAGGTCACCATGCCCAGCTAATTTTTGTATTTTTAGTAGAGACTGGGTTTTGCCATATTGGCCAGGTTGTTCTTGAACTCCTGGCCTCGAGTGATCTGCCTGCCTTGGCCTCCCAAAGTGTTGGGATTGCAGGCGTGAGTCACTGTACCTGGACCTAGGAAGATTTTAAATTAGGCTTCATTAAAATTAAATTTTGTGCATCAAAAGATGCCATAAAGCAATTCTAGGGGAAGATATCTAATGCTCACAACTAAATATATATCACTCCTAAAAATCAGTAGACTAAGAAACCAAAAGAAAATCAGGCAAAGATATAAAACAATTCACAAGAAAGGAAACCTAATTGGCTACTAAATACAAAAAAAAGATGTTCAACCTTACCAGCAACCAAGGAAAGATATTAAAACAACAAGATACCTTTTCATATGCATCAGACTACCAAACCTGAAAATACCAAATATTGGTAAAAATATGGAGAAAACAGCAATTTGGTGATTATAGCAACAAAAACTCATGGAAAATACAATCAGAGGTGGAATCAATAGGACTTGGTAACTGACTAGGAGGCAGAAGTGAAAAGAAAGGAAGGGGTTAAGAACAACTGTGAGATATAAGCCTGGCATTTAAGATGGCTGGCAGTAGAGGAAAGGAAGTTTCAAGAAAAAAAAAAAGGAAAAAAAAAAGAAAGAGCTTTCCTTTTAATATTTTCAGTTGCAAGTAAGTCATCTTAACGAAGGAAACTAACATTAAAAGAATGTGGATTTGAAAGGATCAAGGTACACGCTACAATAGCTTCTATCCAAATTTTGTTTTACTGAATGGACGAGGATCAGATGTCTCATGCTCAAAAGGTCATACATGAGGTAGAGAGATTCGAGTTTCAGAAAACATCTTCCTTTCTGTCAAACTTTAAATACAAGTGTTTAATCTCCCTATGGGAAGTAATGTCTCGCTTTTGAAAAGGTCAAAATTTCAAGCTGTCTACTTCTGTCATTAAAAGAAAGCAAGTGTCACAGGAGCCAACCTGAGGAGCTCTCCAAAGGCCAAAACCTAGGACAACATGAGCAACAAGATAAATGACAGTTATAGATCACAATGCATACAGTAAAATAAATATCTATGATGCAATTACTGTAAACATGTGAATTATAGATATGTTATAAACACGTTATGATAAAGATTTATTGCAGTTATAAATAATTGAATAAACAGGATAAAAGACAGTTGTTTTCTTACAGTAGAATTCCAATTTTAAAAATGTACAAGAAATGAAAGAGAAAATCACTCTCTGGCAAACAACAGAGTAATAACTATTGCAGACAAGACCATTATGATACTTAGAGTCTCAAAGCATTGCCCAACTAGACACGTAAATACAAGCAGAAAGACAGTAACTTTACAGCAGAAAACCTAGCACACAATCACCTTACTCAAGTGACCAAGGTTAATGTGACCCATAATGAGACATACCAACATCATATACTTCTTGCTCTGAGTAGGACAGGGCATTACTTTTGGGATAGAATTGCAGAAAATGCATGACCTGAATCTGATCATGAAGAAACACCAGAAAAACCCAAACTGAGAGACATTCTACAATTTGAGAGCCAGTCCTCTTCATGTGTCAGGGTCATGAAAGACAAAGAAACTATCTTAAATTGGAAATAAGAAAGTAGGAAAATATGTAGCTCATCTTAAATAAACTTCTCTAAAATGGTTAAAATGGGAGCCACGGTGCTGGACGGAGTAAATTTCAATTAGCTGGGAAAAATACTAATGTGAACTACCTCACTCCCACAAAGCATCAGGTAAATAAGGCTTTCTATTTTTAAAGACACATGGATCTTCGCCCAGCTAGCATTAGCTAAACATCTGAAACAGTCCATTACGAAAGATGACCAATTTTTTTTATCCTCTACCCAAATAGCTTCATTACAGTGTTATATATGTGTCACTTGAAGCTTTTTGTCGCCTATTTGGCATCATGCACTTTTCTAAACCCACCAAAGCCTACCACACAGAACACTTTTTTAAGATGTTAAACCTCAGTGGAATTATGGGTGATTTTCTTTTTCTACCACCTAAATTTCATGTAAGTTAGCAATGCTAAATTATAATGGAAAATGAAAAACTTACAAATAAAAGAAAATCCACTATGACCAAGTTCTTGATTTACTGCCTTGGCTATGTCTGTCAAATAGCAAAGATTGAATGGAGCCATTTCCTTGGATACATTAACATGGCAATGGGAAGGAAAACACCTACCTCTACAGTATTTGCAATGTAACGGTTGTCACCTTCAACTTTGACAAGGAAGTCATAATAACCACTGGAAAATTTGACGTTCATGAAGTTTAGTTCAAAAACATCCCTGTAAAGAATGACAACAGGCTTAGCAAGAACTCAGGTAAGAAAGTCACAGATATAACAAACAGGAACTACAAAATGTCTCCTAGAGACTGTCCAAGGCTAGCCCACTCCTTCCCTTTTTGACTTCCTACCCCACTTGGACAATCTTGTGCCTTTTATTTTATTTTGACACAGGTTCTCACTCTGTTGCCCAGGCTGGAGTACAGTACAATCACAGCTCACCACAGCCTCAAACTCCTAGGTTCAACTCATCATCCCAACTCAGCCTCCCCAGTAGTTGGGACGGGAGGCATGCATCACCACGCCCAGAAAAATTTTGTAGAGACGGCGTTCCGAGAGCAAGTGATCCACCCGCTCAGCCTCCCAAAGTGCAGGCTGGGGCATGAGCCACCATGTCCAACCCTCGAGCTTAATCGTATATTACAATGTGGAGAAAACTATCTAAAATGAACACTCCTAGGTTTCCAACGTTTTCTTTTCCTTTTCCTTTGTTACTCCCACACTCCTAAAATTCAAACTCCTTCTGGTAGCTTTCCACAATGTAATGTAAAATTGGGAAGTTTACAGTATGATCCTGATGATGTTTCACGGTGACAACGACAAAAATGTAGAAGAAAATACTCCAAAATGTACAAAGAGGTTGGTGTAGGATAGTATAATTGGGGCTAATTTTTTGGTATGATTTTTACCTTTCTGTGTATTCTGAATTTCTCAAAAAGGACATATCTTACTTTTATTTAAAAATATTTATTTTTATTTTAAAGGGGAAAAAAACGTAGAGAGTTCCTAACTCTATCGCAAAATCTCAGTATCTTTTACCGCTCCACTGATACTTCTAAAAGCGATTTTGCTTTTTAATTTCACATATTGCCTAAGAAATGCATTTTCTCTCTAAAACTGAAAACTCCTGATCTCAGTAACTTAATAATTTAACACTTCTAAAAGTTCCACACAGGCCCAGTGGCTCACGCCTATAATTCCAGCACTCTGGGAGGTAGGGGCAGGCAGGTCACTTGAGGTCCGGAGTTCGAAACCCGCCTTGCCAACATGGTGAAACCCCGTCCCTACTAAAAATACAAAAAAATTAGCTGGGTGTGGTGGCGGGTGCCTGTAATTCCAGCTACTTGGGAGGCTAAGGCAGGAGAATTGCTTGAACTCGGGAGGCGGAAGTTGCAGTGAGCCAAGATTGTGCCACTTGTACTCCAGCCTGGGCAACAGAGCAAGACTCCGTCTCAAAAAAAAAAAAAAAAAAAAAGTTCTATACAATTAGCTGGGAAAAACACTAATTCATATAAAAATTGACCCTTATTTTTTTTCTTTTAGAGACAGGTCTTACTATGTTGCCCAGACTGGTCTTAAACTCCTCGATTCAAATGATCTTCCTGCCTCAGCCTCCAAGTAGCTGGAACTACAAAGTACCTGCTACTGTGCCCAGCTTGACCTTTAATTAATTAATTATTATTTTTTTTTTTTTTTGAGGCAGAGTCTCCCTCTGTCACCCAGGCTTGGAGTGATATGGTATGATCATGGCTCACTATAGCCTAGACCTCCCAACCTCAAGTGATCCTCCTACCTCAGCCTCCCAAGTAGCTGGAACTATAGGTGAGCCACCATACCCAGTACATTTGGCCCTTAATTTTTTTAAAAAATTACACAGCAATAATATGCAGCCATTAAAAATCATTGTAAAGACCAGGTGTGGTGGCTCATGCCTGTAATCCCAGCATGTTGGGAGGCTAAGATGCAAGGCTCACTTGAGGTCAGAGCCTGTAATCCCAGCTACTCAGGAGGCAGAGGCAGGAGAATCACTTGAACCCAGGAGGTGGAGGTTTCAGTGAGCCAAGATCATGCCATTGCACTCCAGCTTGGCAACAAGAGCAAAACTCCGACTCAAAAACACAAAACAAACAAAAAAATCATTGTAAAAGAATATTTAATCCTGTAGAAAAGTGTCTGTGGCACGCTGTTACATATAAAGCATATCCTAATTTTTTTTTAATTTTTTAAAAAATCAGAGATGGAGGCTGGGCATGGTGGTTCACACCTGTAATCCCAGAACTTTGGGAGGCTGAGGCGGGTGGATCACTTGAGGTCAGGAGTTCATGACAAGCCTGGTCAACACAGTGAAACCCCGCCTCTACCAAAAATACAAAACTTAGCCAGGCGTGGTGGCATATGCCTGTAGTCCCAGCTACTCGGGAGGCTGAGGCAGGAGAATCGCTTGAACCCAGGAGGCAAAGGTTGCAGTAAGCCGAGGTCGCACCACTGCACTCCAGTCTAGGTGACAGAGCTAGACTCCCATCATTCATACATACATACATATATAAAAATTAGAGATGGGTCTTGCTATTGTCCAGGCTGCTCTCAAAATCCTGGGCTCGGGCAATCCACCTACCTCAGTCTCCCAAAGTGCTGGGGTTATAGGTGTGAACCCCATGCCTGGCCCTTAATTGAATTTTTAAAATTTATTTACATACACAGAAAAAAGACTGTCAAAAAAATTATAAAATATTAGCAAGGCAGGGCACGGTGGGTCAATTCCAGCACTCTGGGAGGCTGAGGCAGGAGGATCACCTGAAGTCAGGAGTTCGAAACCAGCCTGGCCAACATGGTGAAACCCTGTCACTCCTAAAAATACAAAAAATTAGCCAGATGTGGTGGTGGGTGCCTGTAATCCCAGCTATTCAGGAGGCTAAGGCAGAAGAATTGCTTGAATCCAGGAGGCGGAGGTTAGAATGAGCTGAGAT